CCATAGAGATACTGTCTCGGAAACGCAAGGAGAGGTTGCTGTGAGTTGAATCAAGTCGATAGCAGTTAGTGTGGGTTTGTTTTTTTTTTTTTTTTTTTTTTTTTGTAAAGAGGGTTTAGAGTTTGAAGCGAGAGTTTTTATAGTGTTTTTTTAAAATCCCAGTCGCTACTCGCCAAAGTAGAAGATGGAACAATATTTTGTGCAGTATGTTACAGCATTTTTTTTTTTTTTTTTGAGTGACTTGGAAATCTCAGTAAAACTGGGTCAATTCTTTTTGACTGCTTCTGGACACATAGATGATATTATCTTCACTTGTTATGTCATACTTTGTTGACTAATCCTCAGAGACAGAACAGTCAGATGCTGAAAATGTGGTCATTGCTTCTTCCACTAATAATTGTTGAAAATTACTTCATTTTATCCCGTCTTAGTAAATTCTTAGTAAATGTCATCCTGTGCCCAGCTAATTATACTAATGAATTAGTTTCTGATCCTCCTTTAACGTATCCCAGACTAAAGCTTAAAGCTTTTTGTATAATCTAATTTTATAAGTTCTGTGATTCAAATAAGGAGCTCTTGTGGTGTAGTGGTTAAGCCATTTGGCTGCTAAGCAGAAGGTCAGCGATTTGAACCTCCATCCACTTTGCAGGCAATAGGTGAGGCAGTCTGCTTCTATAAAGATTTGCAACCTTGGAAATCCACTGGAGGTCACTATGAGTCAGAACTGACTTGATGGAAGTGAGGTTGGTTTTTGGCATGATTCAAATAATCACTGTTTCGGTGATGCTTGTTTAGAAATTTTCTATATATATCAACAGGTCAAGATGGAACTCTTCAGTCCTTTTCCACGATACATGAAAAATTTAATAAAAGCTTGGGGCATGGTAAGTCATTTCAAGATTCTATGAGAAAACTGGAGGAGATTGCACTACTAAATTTCATGGATGAAATTTGGTTGAAATAGAAACTGTACAGAAGAATTAGTAATGAGATTCCTAAAATCAGACTTGCTATTAATTATATCGGTTGAGGTGCTGCTATAAGATTATTGATTGCATTTAAACACCTTCGGTGGTGAAAACATAGTGTTGCCAGCCAGAAGACATTGATGTTAAGGTAACATGAGCAGTGTGTGGAGTGCAGAATTCTGGAGATGAAAGGAAGTTGAGAGCATCAAAGCAAGCAGTGTCTAATCTTTTTGCTATAGAGGGCTCTTGTATTTGCTTTCCTTTTCCTTGATTTCTAGCTTTAGAAAGATTTTATTTGCTAAAGAAAAATGTTTTTAAATTTTATTAGTGATTACTCTTTTTCTTAAGCAGGTATCCTGGCTTGTATATGTTTCCAGATGAATTTTAGGATTTTTTTCTTTAATTAAAATCCAAAATAATTCTCCTTGGAATTAGATTTGATATCTTTAAGAATCTTCTCAGTTAGGAATGTGACATATCCTCATTTGAGTTTTTTTTTTGGTCCTAGGTAAGGTTTTTTAATTTTCTTCATGTTGGTCCTACATACTATTCAGTGAGGTTATGGATGGATAGGTACAGATTTTCTATTATGAATGTATTATTTGCTTTATTTTAGATGTAACTGGTTATTATTGCAGTGTAGGAACTTATGACTTCTTATATTGATTCTGTATCTGGCCCCATTGAAACAATTGCTAGTATATATTTATTTGATAACATGATTATTATGATATAATACAAAAACTATATTGTAATTATATTACAGTTGTGATATTTGTAACTAATGACGTTTTTACCTCCTTTTATAAATCATACTTCATATTTCATTTTCTTGTCTGATTACATATAATCATATACATATTACATATAATTACATATAATCACAAATGATTATAATGGTAATACTAAAATCTTTGTTTTGCTCCTGACTTAAATAGGAATGTCTTGAGCTTTATAGGTCATGTAACAATGAACAGCTTTTCTTTTATGTACATTTTTTAGTAAGGATTTCCTCTTTTCCAACTCCCAGGGTTGATAAATAAAAAGAGAGTCAAACGGAAAGGACTTCAGAATACCATGTCAGTGAGACTTCCACCCATAACAAAGTTTGCGGCAGGTAAGTAAGTTCATACTGTGTTTTGAGAAGTTCTTTGTTGTCTTTTATTTCCTACTATATATTGCTTCATTTTCCTCCAATCTGTAAGGGAACCCCCAAGCACATACTAATATGCAGAGACTAAAAATGAGTTAGAAGTGATTTTAAGAATAACGTAGATAAGTGATAGGATTGGTGAATGAAAACTATCATAGGAAATAATTGCAGACATCTTTCCATTTCAAGGTTACTGTAACAACCTTATCACTGGTGTTTCCTTATACTCACCTTGACCACTCTTCTATTTGCTTTCTTAGAGCCTGCGTGATCATTTTAAATGTACATCAGATCATGTCACTCACCTACTTAAAATCTTCAGTGGCTTCTTGTTACTTTTAAGGGAAAGTCTCCTTTGTTTAACCCAGCTTTCAAGGCCCTTTGTAATATCCTAGTTGCCTTGCCCTCTTCCCACCCCTACCAAGAAAATACTTCACTTACTTGCTGTATTTAATCTTCAGCACCTTGATTAATTTCTATTTGTTTTATCTCTTCTTCCAGGGAGCCATTTAATATTATTCTAAAATCTTTTAGTAAAACTCTTCCAGAGTGTTTTTTGAGACAATAAATACCCTATTTATTGTAATATCTTCTAATCAGTTTGTCTTCTTAAATTGGAAGTTGACTTGCTATTGAGGATGACCTGTTTATTTTACCATAGTATCCCTAGTACTTGATGATAACATGCAGTGTTAGATTCTCAATAAATAATACGTTAATGAATGAATGAGGAAGTGAAAAGTAAGTTGATTTGTGGTTTTAATTATGTCTTAGAGGAAGCTCGTGAGACTGACTGGGATGGTATCATTGCTTGCCATCAAGGTAAACTATCATGCTCAACTTGGAACTATCAAAAGTCTACAATAGGCACTTACTTTCTCAAGCCAAAAGAGTTGAAGACAGATGACATAACTGCAACAGTAAGTATACTTGTTTATAAGGACATTTTTTCCTTTAGCACTGTCCTATGGTATTCTTGTTATACTCAAGTTTATTAATGGTAATGGTTGAAAGAACATAGTTTAACATTTTGAAATTATCCCTTAAAGGGTACTGAGTTTTCTAGCTTACAAAGAGCTATTAGGTTGAAGTTAAGCTTTGCTTAACTGTAAGTAATATTTTGGTTACTTAATTTTCTAATTAATATAAGATTACTAAGGATACCCTTTGAAGATGATTTCAGCATTTATCAATATACTTTCTTACTTGAATTATGTTGTATACAGTATTTTCTCTCTCCTTTTTTTTTTCTTTCTTCATATAAAAGTAAGATTTAACTAACTTTTTGATGACTTATAAGTTGTTTAAGCCCTTTATCTCTTATTTTCTTACATTTCTCTCCTGTAAAGTAATTCAGGTTGAGCTCTGTCTGGGCCCCTTTTTAATAGAACTTGACAGTCAATGTTTACTCTTTTTTTTTTTTTTCTTCCATTTTTATTGTGATGTGGGTGAAAGTTTACAGAGCAAATTCATTTTCCATACAGCAGCTCACATACACTTTGTCTCATTACATGTACAATTTCCCATGATGCAATAGCTCCCTTCCCCCTTCTTCCCCATAGTTACCTCTTCCCTATGTCTTTCCCTCCCATGTACTCCTGCCCCCTGAGCTGGCTCTCTGCATACACACTCCTTCTATTCTCCCACAATTGATTTCTCCAAGGAGTGTATCTACCTAATGAAGGTTCAGCTGATATGCTTGTCTTTTGTTTGGCTGGGAGCCACGGGAGTAGGTTCAATTCCGGACCTGAAGGGCAGCTAGGGGCCATAGTCTCAGGAGTTCCACCAGGCTCTAACAGATCAGCAAACTTGGTACTTTTTTTTTTTTTCCTTTTTTGTTGTGATTTGGGTGAAAATTTACAAAGCAAATTGACTTTTCATACAGCAGTTCACATACACTTTGTCTCATGACATTGACTACAATTTACCACAATGCACACAATGCAATAGCTCCCCTCCCACTTCCTCCTGATAGTTACCTCTTCCCTGTGTCCATCCCTTCATGCACTCCTGGCCTCTGAGCTGTCTCCCTGTGCATAAACAGCCCTTCTTTCTCCCATGATTGTTCTCTCTAAGGAGTGTATCTATCTCAAGTAAATGTTCAGCTCATATGCCTGTCTTTTGTTTGGCTGAAAGCCACAGGTTTGGGTTCAATTCCAGACCTGAAGGGCAGCTAGGGTCCATAGTCTCAGTGGTTCCACCAGACTCTATCAGACCAGCAAACTTGGTCGCCTTTTTTTTTACAAATGATTTTGAGTTTTGTTCCATGTTGTTCTCCCTCTCTATCCAGAATCTCCTACATAGATCCTCCTCCAAGTGGTTGACAGTGGTAGCGGAGCACTATCTAGTTCTTTTGGTCTCATAGTCATATAGACTGTAGATTGCATGGTGTACTAGTTGCTAGGACTAATTCCTTCCATGAATATTTGATTTTCTTCATTCTTATTTGCTCTGGACAAGGAGAGACCCATTGTTGCATCTAGATGTCTGTTTGAAGGCTTTTAACATCCCTGTCTTTACTCACTAAAGCAGGAGGTGGAACAGTGTTTTGGTGTAGTATGTTATGACAGTTGAGCTTGATGTCCCCTGCAACCATGATTCCAAGCCCATAGGTCCAACTACTTGCTCCCTCTAGGTAGCTGGCTGTGGCCAAGATGTGACTACATCTTTGTCCCTTTACAAATACACTTGTAGAAATATTGTCTGCCAACCCTATGCATGGTCATGGGTGCATTCCCCCCTGCATAGACATACCTGGTAGTTCAATCTGTCTACCCATCTATCCACCTGTAGATCAATGTTTGGCTTCACTGACAATGCTGTACTGTATGTGCCAAAGGGTCCATCTTTGTTGTCTGTACCTCCCATGCACCTCTCTATGTCTTCCTCTTCCTGAGTGCCACCATGTTGATCAGTCACAATTGTTACATTGCCCTTCTCTTCACCCAACTCAGTACTTGTCTCTACCTATGTAACAGTGTTCCCTCCCCTCCGCTCCCAAAAAAAAAAATTTCCTTCCATATATAACCCTTTCTTTGAATTTTTCTAATAACGGACAAATAGAATATTTGTCCTTCTGTGATTGACTTACTTCACTCAGCTTAGTGTCTTCCAAGTTCATCCATGTTATGCGGTGCTTTGTAGATTCTGCATTATTCTTTAGGGTTGTGTAGTATTTTATTGTGTGTATGTACCATAATTTGGTTATCCATTCTTCTGTTGATGGGCACCTAGGTTGTTTCCATCTTTTGGCTATTGTAAATAGTGCCGCGATGAACATGGGTGTGCATGTATCTGTTCTTGTCTTGGCTTTCATTTCTTTAGGATATATACCTAGTAATGGAATTGCTGGGTCAAATGGTATTTCTAATTCCAACTTTTTAAGGAATCATCACACTGCTTTCCACAGTGGGTGTACCATTCCACAGCCCCACCAGCAGTGTATGAGAGTCCCAATCTCTCTACATCCTCATCAGCATTTGTTATTTTCTGTCTTGTTGAACTTTGCTACTAGTGCTGGGCCAAGACGGTATCTCATTGTTGTCTTGATTTGCATCTCTCTAATGGCTATTTTTTTTTTTAATTTATTTTTTATTTATTGTGATTTGGGTGAAGATTTACAGAGCAAATTCACTTTCCATACAGCAGTTCACATATACATTGTCTCATGTCGTTGACCACAGTTTACCACAATGCAATAGCTCCCCTCCCACTTCCTCCCCGTAGTTACCTCTTCCCAGTGACCATCCATCCATACTCTCCTGTGCCATGAGCTGTCTTCCTGTGCATAAGCAGCCCTTCCTTCTCCCATGATTGTTCTCTCCAGAGCGTGTGTCTACTTGAGGTAAATGTTTAACTTACATGCCTGTACATTGTTTGGCTGGAAACCACAGATATGGGTTCAATTCCAGACCTGAAGGG